ATTTGTGTCACACACACACACACACACACACACACACACACACACAAAAGGTCATTAACAATGGTAAATGTCTTCATAAGGATTTCTCCATGCAGAAGTGTTTGGTCGCAGTAGACATTCTCAATAAAGTGTACATTTTTGAAAAGGTGAACATTCAATGAATGGACTGCGAAAAGAATTATTTACTGTCTGGAATGTTATATTATACTCATGAAGAGCACAAGTAACTTGAAGCCAATGAATCTAATATTTGGCATTACATTTCTGTATCGTTTTTACTTTACAGTATAATTGCAAATTCTTTTGAGGGATCTAATGTTCACTGCACCCCGGACAATATTGTAATCTTCACTGATGGATGGCAAATAATCCAATCATAATAATGATACATTTTATCTACAGAATAAATCTGGCTGAGAATTACGAAGATGAATTAGGAACGCATCACAGAGTAAAACGCGATTTTGAGTCAGTATAGATTTATCTGTATGTACTTATATCCTTAGCTTTCACCTTTGGGACTAGGTCTGTGAAAGAGCTCCTATTTTTTCAGGCTTTCATACGTGAATCGCGGCAATGTTCGTACTTTGATGTTGTGAGTAAGAGACAACCAATGTCACCAAACTGAACTCCCTGAGAGATCTCCGATATCTGTATATTCAGTAGTATCTGAGTGACTGTAAATATTTCTGCCAAGCCCAAGAGCGTTTTGTGGTTGTGGTTGTTAATCATCCGGTATGTATATTCATCTATGTTAAATCACGGCCATGAATATTAACAAATAATGGAGGTATGACAAAACAAGATGTCCCCTGCAGTCAGTCTCACTGGTCCTGCTGTCCAACAGGTATACACATTCTAAACTCTCCTGTGCAAAAACCATTGGGATGGCAATTTCAAGATGCCATTGACGATTCGTTCGAGAGATAATTTCACTTAATTTTTTCGCACCCCCTTGTTTGCGCAATTAGAATTACATCATCATTTAAACGGTTCAACGATTTCTCTTCAGGTTTGTGTAGTCACTTTTCTCCTGATGCTCATTACCCACCCTGTAGCCATATTTTTTATCTCAGAATTGCACTGACAAATTTTGTGCATTTTGAAGTCAAGCAAATGCAGTGATACACCATCAGTTGCAACCGAAAAGTTTTCTATTTTTCTTCTTCATTTTCCAGGCTGTTTTGTTCACCCTGCATTTTTTATCAGCCGAAAAGCCGTTCATCCCAGCGTTTATTATCGTGTGCTTGTCCACTTCGCTATGTTGATTGATACAATTTAAGCTAAAACGACACATTTTCCCATCAAGCTTTCGCCAAACCTCGAAATGCTTTAACTAAGACCCGAAGTCCTTTAGCCACGACGCACAAACTTTAGTCATGCCGCAGTAGACAAGTCAGATGAAAAAGTATCGGAATATAGCGTTGGCAAAGGATGTTGAAAAACATTATTTTCTACAACTGTTCATGTTGCAAAAGCTTGGTTAACAAATGAGGAGTGGCGGTCACACGCCGCAACATGTGTTGATTGGCGAAGGTTTAGCCGATGTGCCCGTATTGTCAACCCATTTGACACATCTCGGGTAGCTTCACATGCGATACTTCTAGGAATAAAATTCTCAAAGGGAACTCAAACGGTACATTGTTTTGCATTCACAAGTGAACTCTGCTCATCAGAAGGCGATTTATAAACCTGCTGATTATGATAAACCGCTCGCAAAAGTACACCCTCATA